ATGTAGCACATTATTTAGATGCACTCGGGGCTGATGAGTTGGGAGGCAGGCAAATGCCCAACTGGAAGACAATGTCTTTAGATCAAAGGAGGCGATGAGACAGCGAGTTCATAAAATGTGAATACAATTCCCGGAGAGGATTGATGATTATGGAAGCAGAAAGCCAATCAAGTTAAATATTCATTCCGGCAACAAGTCTGATCGTCTCACTGGGACACAGGCCTCTCCGGAGTTTCCCCAGCTTTTCAAGGTCTACACAAGGAAAGAACAAAGCCATCAAGGATTCCCTTATTCTGGAAAGCCGGCTGCAAGATGGCATGAATCAGAGGTCAACAACTACCACTGAGAGTTCATCGCATTCGACCCCATAAAGAATAAGGCTCAAACAGTGGTTCTGCAGGAGTGGTTTAGTGCCGTCAACACCAATGAGCCCTAATGAATGTGACAAGTTAGAATTATTGGGTCATTTCCTCAAAAACGTTTTGCTCCTCACAAATGAAACAGGCCTGAAACTCCGTCTGAAATAGTCTGTTTAGATTTTCCATATATGAATGTCATCCACCAGGTAAAAGAAGGTATATTAACAAGTAAGATATTGGGATATGGTGCCTTGTTTCAAGAGCATCAAAACATTTAATATATTTAAGAAAAAAACGGTTGGCCTGGTTTGGCCAACCAACCACTTAGATCTCTCCATTGCCATCCAACTAGTAACTTTTAATGACTTTTGGGAGTAAGTGGGGTAGGTTGGTGGGAGAAGAAGAGAGGATACAAAAAAATAGAAACTAAATCCCAAAAGTAGGGGAGAGTGGTAAGAATTATTTAGTGTTTTCTCACAAAAATACTTACATGTGTTCTTGGATCTCTCACAATATGTAGTTTAACTCCATATATATAATTTAGTGAATAAAATATCTCCATTCGGTTATTGGTTCAGAGCTTAGAAAAGACTGTGATAGAGGCAACTTAGTTCCACTCTGTTCCATTTTCCTTTGCTTTCTGGGTTTTGATGAGCAGTACCACAGTCCATATGCAACAGGACCGGAGATTTGCACTAGAGATTTGCAAAAATATCACAACATATAATCCATCTACTAGGAGTAATTCTCATCCTCTGGAACAATTGAGAAGTTGAAATTGCCTGATCTTTTCAAGTGAAATGTTGCCACTTTGACCCAGGCAAATGAGAAATAAAACAACAATACCAACCAGCAGTTTCAAGTATCCGTCTACAGCATAATAACTCAGCAGTAGGCTTTGCTAATGGTGTTTATTAGCCATCAGGCTGGGATTGGCTCTTAAGCAAGGAGGCATTTGCCCAGTGGGCTTCTTCTGTGTGGGGGGCCTTTCTGCAGCCTGGGGGCCCTTTTAGGTGATTCTCAGCAGGAGTGGCCTCTGCAGGCCAAGGCCCTTTTGCAATGAGCTAACCGTTGGATTATTGCTTAAAGGTCTGCACTGCATTGAAAATGTTTTAGGACACCAATATAATACCATAATTACTATGTAGGACATGCCTATGCTAAGAGGTCGTGACTGCCATTTTTTAGGTATTATATATCCATTTGATGCTGTTGATGCAAAGAAAACAAGCACTTCCCAAAGTTTAACAGAGATCATTGTATCCTAAAATCAAATAGCACAATAGAGTGTAATTTAGCCCAATGGGACAACCATCAACTATCAGCCATGTGATGAGTATGGAAGTAGATTATATACAAAGAAAACAGAAGGATAAACCACAGGATGACGGCAAAGGAGAAGGAAATCGAGTGCCAAGGATTAGACCCTCCAAGTTGTCCTTTGGCATTAAAATGATCCAAAATGTTCATCAGTTCGAGTTAAAAAGGAAATCAGTAATCCCCAATATACTTTAGGTTTCATTTGACGCCCACAAGCTGAAACTGCCTCTTTGGGGTGTGTGTATTTACCTCTGCAAAGAATATAATTGAATTTGGAAATTATCTCCAAAGCTACCTGTTCAGACCTGTTATTTCAGTTCCTGAAAACTATTGCATTGAGTTAGACCAGGGAGATTTCTTGAGATGGCATCTGTTTGCTAAGAAGGGGCTGTGCCCGCCTGCTCTGGAGTATTAAAATAAATTGTAAATCTACCTAATTCATAAAACATAATTTCAAGAAAGCAAAAATTTAAGAGACAGCCCCTGGCAGGGTGCCAAGCAATCTCAGTTGGGTTCCTAGTCCCTGTACCTTATGGGAAGATTGAATTCACTAAATGAAACAAACCGAACCCTATTTATTTATCATAGTTTAAAGCAGGAGTCCTCAAACTTTTTAAACAGGGGGCCAGTTCACTGTCCCTCAGACCATTGGAGAGTGCGCACTCTGGGCCCGGGACGAGTTAGCTGCTAAGCAGGACAGGTAGCGGTTGCAAAAACACCTGGAGGGCCAGATAAATGTCCTAGGCAGGCCACATGTGGCCTGTGGGCTGTAGTTTGAGGATGCCTGGTTTAAAGGAAAGGAGAGAGTAAAGAGACTTGGTGCAAATGAGTGGTCAAGTACTCCAGAGGTTTAAAAGATTGTGACCCTTACAATTCGTTATATAATTTATTATTCTTATTTGTTTTTTGGTAAAAGAAAATCCAACTTTATGTATCTTCTTTAGGGTCAGCTAAGGACACGTAAAGATCTGTTGGTATATGGCCAACATTTTGGTAGGCTTAGGGACCAAATGCAAAAGGATGAGAAGGAATTTAAGGTGATCATTATCTGAGTCATTGACCTAATGCTCATGAAGCGCCCAGTATATGGAGGAGATTAAGAAGCAGAACTCAGAACTCGTGGTCCCTGCCTTTGTGGTGACAAAGTGAGATGGCAGAAACAGTTGGCAATGCTGTCACTTAGATACAGGATCTAAAAAGTCCATCTCATAGAATCAGAGAGTAGAAGAGAAGTTATCAGAGGCTGGGGAGGTGGGCAAGGGCTGAGAAAGGGCAGGTGTTGGTCAAAGAGTATAAAATTTCAGTGAGGAGGAGTAAGTTTCAGTGATCTGTTGCATAGCATGGGGACTACCATTAATAATAATGTAGTCTATATTTTAAAATTTCTTTAAAAAAATAGATTTCAAATGTTCTTACCACAACAAAATTATAGGGAGGTGAGGTGATGGCTGTGTTAATTACCTTGCCTTCATCTTTCTTCAATATAGATATGCATTAAAACATGCATCACATATTACCACATACATATATACAATTATTTGTCAATTAAAGAAGAAAAGAAATTAATTTTAGAAAATAAATAAAAGAGTTGTGTTAGGTTGGAGAGAGAGAGAGACAGAGAGAAAATGAATGAATGCAGGGCACATAGCTGGAGCTGCCATTAAGTAACCATTAAGTAACATGTGTCAATGACTAAGAGAACAAATACAAAGTAAGAAAATCAGCTACTATTGTGGTCTATAGATGCTATAGATGATATAAGGACCTGGCTCTGAGTGAGTTGGTATAGCACAGTGGTTAAGTTTGTAGACCCAGGTGTCAGACTGCATAGGTTCAAATCCTAGGTTTGCCACCATACTATCTTGGGCAAGTCACTTAACCTCTCTGCTTTAATTTATTCATCTCCAATATAGATCTGATAAGTAGTCTGGAATACTTACTATAATGATTAAATAAATTAATAGCTATAATTCCAAAGGAGCTGGGCTTTCTCCTTGCCTTGAAGAATGTGCTGGATTGGGAGTGGTGGTTGAGTTGAGCAAGGCATCATAATACCATCTGGGCTGAGAGCTGTCAGCGTTAAGTAGGAATGCAGGGATGAGGAAATAAATGCCTCGTCTCAGGGCTGGGAAGAAGACCTCTAAATTGGGGTGGAAAGTTCTAGTGAAGGTGAGATACACTAGACTGAGATGACTAAGAGCTCTGAATACTAAGATGAGGAGTTGTTGTTTTTTTTATTCTATAAGACAGCTTTCCATCTCTTTCTTTCTTTTAAGACAAACAGATAATGACGCTGTATGAGTAACCAAAGATGACTGTGTATTATCTAACTGTGAACAGAATTAAGCACCTGTAATCAAATAAAATTTGGAACAAAATAAATTTCCCACATTCATGATATGCATAATTAGGGATGTGCTGGGAACCAGCTATCCAGAAAAAAGACAAAGCATCCTGATTTGTTTAAATACTCTGCCCATGGCTGATTGGAGCTATTAGAGGGATGCTACTGAACAGGACGCTGGGAAGAGAGGTGTGCACCTGGCACAGGGGTGTATAAGTGGGTCCCACACTGCACTGCGCTTAGCCTGCACGAGCACAGAACGAGCTCCTGAATGCAGTGACTGCACCTTGCTCTCTTTTATACTTCCTCCCTCCCCAGGAACTTAATAGTTAAACCATATGTATGTGTACACAGAAGCTGCAAAATGATTGCAATTGACATTATGGAGCCATCCCAAATGTGGGGTTTATTTTCTGTCTCTCTTTTTTTTTTTTTTTTTTTTTTGTTCTCTAGTATCTGTAAACAGCATCCATGGTCCAGTTTCCCCATCTGTTCTTCGCAAGTCACTGATGTGTGCCAAAAAAGGAAAAGCTCCCGTGTCCCCCTGGGCAGATGCAGGCTGGGATCCCAGAGTCCCTGCTTGCCCGAAGCTGCCTCACCTGAGTCCCTCCCTCCATTTGTCTGCTGCGATTAAGAAAGGGGCCACTCCAGGGGCTGCAGGGGGCTCTGCAGGAGAAGCCCAGTCCCTGGTCCATGCACAAGAGCAGGGGCAGCGTCCTGACCGGAGGAAACGCATGGAGCAGAGGGAAGGAACAGGCCAATGAGCTCAGGGTCCCAAGCCTCCTTGGAGCGTTGAGTCAGCATCATGGGGTAGGAGGGTGGGAGGAACAGCAGGGGAGTAACCTACAGACAGATGGAAGGAACCAAAGCTGCAGGGACACGCCCCGCCTTCAACCAGGAGTGCTTTAAACCAGCTCCGTGTTAGGGAACAGCCCCAGCTTTAAAACTCATTTACACCAAAGTGCAAAGTGACTCACTGGAGACATGTCTTTGATCTCTGGGGAGAGGGTGTTAGGCAGCATGAGGTTTAGGCAGCCAGGTGTCTTCCCACAGTTTCTGCCTCGCAGGTGGGTGGTGGTACGTGCTCACTTTATGTCTGGATGAGGCGGAATCAATTGCATGATCCAAGGGAGCCCATAACTGTGTATGGACATGCAAGTGCTGACTGGGGAGACGGGAGAGAGAGAGAGAGAGAGAGAGAGTGTTTTCTCCCAGAATTTCCAGTTCTTGCAATTCACTGTCTTGATCCTCATCCTCACTTCTCTGGCTAAATCGAAAACACAGCCTGGATAGAGGTGCCTTCTCTTTCTTGGGGCTACTAGCCTACTCTGAGATATAGCAGACATTTCAGTTCCCTGTAATTATCTACTCACTTTTGTCTCCGAAGAGACACAGAATAAACCAAAAGAATTGTGGAGTTAGGAAGGATTCCTAGCCAGCTGATCTCTGCCTCCACCTCCAACTTCTTTCCCACCCACCCCACCCCGAAGGTCATGCTTTCAGTTCTCTCTTGTTGTTCATTAGTCTGGGCTTAGAGCAAAGTGTCTATTTCAGCTTCATTCTCAGTAGGTCACAGTTGCTTGTATATGAGACAGCCCTTTGCCACCTGATAAGCCTTTTCTAGAATTCCCTTCTTTCCATCTGCAACCGATCTTGTATAAAGCTCTTGGAAGGGCAGGGTCAGGGGCTAGGCCAGGCTTTAGCCAGGCACAGGTGTGGCACATGGACTGTTTTGGCCACTCTCAGGTGGGTGTCAATTTCCTTTCACAGCTGACAATAGAAGATACAGTACTGTGCCATGTCCAGTGGAAATTAGAGAGCAAGGAGTGAAGAAACCACGTTAGGCTACTGAGGTGCCCAGGTACGAAGTATTGAACACCCCCTAAATTCATGCTGTCAGTGGGCACAGAAAGAAATGGACAGTGCAGAAATTCATTTTGAATTAGCATGATCTAGGGACAGGTGATGCGGAGAAATCTTGAAGGAAGGGAGTCGCTTTGGCAGAGGTTTCGAGAGCAGAATTTCATCCCTGATGAAATTTGATAACATTCATGACAATTCAGAAGTGAAAACGGGCTTTGATGGAAACATGATGAGTTCAAGTTGTTTTGCATATTGAGGTCAAGTTGATTGTTTGCAATCCAAATGATACTGTCCGGTAGGCATGGAATCTATCTGGAGTCCTTTGTGCAATGATTCTATGCCTCATATCGTCTTGCCTTTGTCCTGCTAAAGACTTTTCGTAAGAACTTTTGTCTTTTTCTGCAGGGCTAATAAATATATGATTAGCTTAGCAGTGGGGTTTTTTTTGGTTTGCTTGTTTGTTTTATTTCTGTTTCTCTTTATGGAAGTTAAAACATTTGTGACCTAGTAAAATCATGAAGTATTATCATTAGGTGTTGTGTTTTAATTGAAACGTTCCATATTTAGAGAATGATGATGATTGAAATTTCTATGAATTGAAAACTTGGCCTGTAAATAATAAACAGAACTTGGAAATACCATTATATTCATCGTCATCGTCTACTGAAATCCTAATCTCAACGGAAACTAAGTGTGGTTAAAATGCATCCTTTAACCTCCCATCCAGAGAGTTCTTGTGCTAGGAAGGGTTTCAAAGGGATCTATTTCTGCAGCCTCCTATCCCACCATGAAATTTATATTCCAGCAATACCAAACGTCTTGAAATTCCTCGAACACAGCATGCTCTCTTGTCTTTCTGGGCCTCTGTACCTGCTAGTCCCCCTGCAGTACTGGGAATGGCATCTGCTCTCACTACTTTCCTCACCTCTCTGCACTCTCTCTGGCGTCCATAATAAGCTTCTATTCATTCCTTACTCTCCTCCTTCCCCCACCCCATAAGCTTCTTAAAGGTAGAGTCTATGTCGTTTTTACTTTATATCCCTAATGTCAAAGACAAAGCAGACACCTAAGAAATGTTTGTTAAGTGAATAAGGGAAGGAAGGAATGAAGGGGAAGGAAAGAAGATTAAATTAGCTACTAGTTTGTTCCCCTGCTTCAACGGATGAAATATACCTTAACAAAACAAGGCAACAGTTGTTAGAATGTTGCATTTTAAACTCCTGAGAGAAGTTGATTCTACTGTGCAAATTCCATCTAATTGAATCTCCCCTTAAAGTTTGAATCTTCTCTTTTAAATCTCATAATGCCTCTCATTTAGGTGATCATGCCAATTATATCTTTTCTGCTCAACCCCCCTAAAATTACTCTTGAGTAAATGAGCCTTGCAAATTATATTGTATTTCCCTCAATTTGCACTGACTCCTCAGCATTTCTTAGTGTAGATTTCCTTTTATATTGTGTTATAATTAACACTAAAGAACAGAGGGGGTTCTTATTCAGATGGCTAACAGATTCCAGGCCCCTACTGCAAGCAGTGTTAAGTGTCCCCTACAGCCCAAGGGGACAGGATGCATTTTAAGAATCCATAAGTACTTCTAGTTATGCCACCAAGGCTATTAGGAGGGAAGAGTATTAACCTTGAGAAGACTCGGATAACAGGACATGGCCAAAATTATCACTTTAGTGTGAATTATAACGTGCTTTATTCTTAGCATTGGTGCTAAAATATGATGGAAAATATTCTGCTTCTTTTATTTTTCAGAAATCATTCATTTTTACTCCTTGCCACACTTCCTGTTCTATCTCAAAAGACTGTAAAAGCAGGTTTTGTCATACACCATTATTTCCTCAAGAGGCTACAGAATTTCTGGAATTTAATGCCAACACCCAGCTGCCTTTCCTTCCTCCAAATCTAGTTAATAGCAGGTGTCTGATACACATTACTAAAGTGAACATGAAAAATTTAGAGTAAGCAAATAAATCACTTTTTTTATTAAACAGGATACAGTACATATTTGTCAGATAAACTTAATTGGCAAAGAACAATCTCGCCATTTATTTATTTACTTTTATTTTATTTTATTTTTTTGAGACTGAGTCTCATTTTGTTGCCCAGGCTAGAGTGGCTCACAGCAACCTCAAACTCCTGGGCTCAAGCGATCCTCCTGCCTCAGCCTCCTTAATAGCTGGGACTACAGGCATGTGCCACCATGCCCAGCTAGTTTTTTCCTCTATATTTTTAGTTGGCCAATTAATTTCTTTCTATTTTTAGTAGAGACGGGGTCTCGCACTTGCTCGGGCTGGTTTCGAACCCCTGACCTTGAGCAATCTGCTGGCCTCGGCCTCCCAGAGTGCTAGGATTACAGGCGTGAGCCACCGCGCCCGGCCACAGTCTCACCTTTTAGATTTCTACGTTTTCACTGTCACCAAAAATAACACGTAAAACAGCATTGAATTATAATTTTTTTCAAATTTGAATAAAAGGGGAGGGCAGGTAAAAGCCAGTTTTGACTGAGAGCTATGATCCTTCTTGGGATCTACCAGCAACCCTGCCTATATAGTTCAATCTCCACTTCCCAAAAGTGCATACAGATGGCGTCAAATAAGGGGAACGGAAGGCAACTCTGATTCATTTGACTTCTTATGTCTTCCTCAGAGAGACGTTGATCAGAAATGGTACATTTTTGCAGACTGGTATATTTTTTTGTAAGGCAAGGCTTGGTGACTTCTTGTGGTCCCTTCCAAATACTCTAATTTCCTCCCCAAAGTCAGCCTCTGATTCCAGGAGGGTTGGCACATGTCGTTGCGCTCTGCCATTTCAGAGATAAGAGCCACCTGATTTTAGAAATCCAAGAGCAAATGAAATATGCAACATTTTATCCCTGGATTCCTCATGCCCACCTGCCAATGTCCCTGTGTCCTGGAGTACAGACTGTCTTGCAGAGCATTTGGAGCCTCTCAACTCCAAAAAGCCAGGAGTGCAGTGTCTGTTGGGAACACTGTCTGGTTTCTGTGGATCGGAAGCACTTCTCTAAACATTAGGGTCTAAAGGATTTTTTTTAAAGAGAGCGTGATCTACTCGGGGAACTCGTTACCTACCGGTCCCTTTTAATTGGAGTCAGAACGAAGAATATTCCACAGATGGCTGTAGGATGAGGCCAATTGCATGCAACCTTCAGTCATGAGTGACACATCTATTTTAAAGGGACAGGGTTGTGCGACCGGGTACAAAAGCAGCTCTCCATGCTAATTGTTGGGCTCCAGTTAGAAGAGGGTCTCTCTGAACACTGTGGTTTCCTACATCCCCCCCGAGTCTGCCCCACATGAAAAGCAACCTGCTGCCTAATTAACTCACAGCACTTTCTTCTCTGTTGTGTCCTGATTTTTGTTTTGTTTTGTTCGGTTTTCATCTCAGATCTTGTTTCTAGTGGACCCGATGAAGTCTTCTGTTATTCACCCAAATATTTTGTGATGAACAGAGTTTCAATCAACCACTCACTCTGATTCCATGACTTCTAGCTTAATTTTCATGGTTTTTTTTTAAATTTTTTATTTGTAATTATGGATACAGAAGAGTTGTATGTCTTCACAGGGTACATGTGATGTTTTGATAGAGGCATACCAATGTGCATTAATCACATCGGGGTAACTGGGGTATCCATGACCTCAGATATTTAACATTTCTTTGAGTTAGGAACATTCCAATTATATTCTTTTAGTTATTTTTAAAGTATCCCCTAACTTGTTGTTGATGATAGCCACTTTGTTTTGCTGTACACTTTTCATTATTATAATCTGCAATAAAGAGAGATTTTTAAAATTCAATCTCCTCTGTCTCATTTTGCAATATCTTGAAACTCTGTAGTCCTTGGGAGATAAACCACACTCGATTTTTGAAAGTCCTGTGTAAGAACATGCAATGTGATTAATTTGGTGTTTCATTTACGTCAGCACCCCATATGAGCATTACTAAATGATAAAGAATTCAATTTCATGACAAAATATGCAGCGGTGTCTAAGTTCCGCTTGAGCAAGTACATTGCCAAAGTAGAAATCAGAAGAATTCATGAAGACGGGGAACGTGAAAGTAATCTTTCTCTTGGAATTGTGATCATAACGTAGGAAATGAAATGTGGGAGCAAATGAAACCATTGAAAAGAGAGACCATTTGGGAAACACCTCCAGAAAACGGCATAAAGTTCCCATGAATTGTTCAGTGACAGTCTCTCAACTGTATGATTCATGGAATGGAGGAGGCAGAAACGGACAGTTTCTTAGGGAAGGAGCCTCAGATGGCACAGAAATCAGTAGCATTTGGGTGACAGGGACACTTCAAAGTTGAATGGCAGGCACCTGGCCCACGGCTGAGATCACAGGTAGACTTTTCTTAGGGAGCCTTCCACATTTCTTCCTGGTGGTGAACCAAGAGTGTGTGAGCCCAGGACTCCAGATATCAAAGATATTAAGTAATGGAAGGTCGATATTTAAATTAATAACTCATAATAGTTCTCCAAAATGTCTGTAAAAGCCTTTCACTTGACAATAGTTGGCAATATTATGTCAGTGGAAAATAGCGCCAAGTTGTAGCTCATCCAAAATGTTGTCATCACCACCACTTTAATATTTAAGAGATTAATGTTTCAAGACTCTTCCAAAAAAATTGTATTTGGAGTTCTCACTGAAAGACTTCTATTCTTCTTCTTCATTATTCTTTGTGAGTTTGGATGTTCTAAAGACATGCAAATTGCATATCCCCATGGGGAAGTGGTTCTCAAAGTGTAGAACCTAGAGCAGCAGTACCAGCTTCACTCAAGAACTTGTTAAGAATGCAAATTCTTACGCAACACCACCCTGCAGACCTACTGAATCAACAGCTTGGGGGTGTGGCTCAGCTTGTATTTTACCAAGCTGTCCATGTGATTTTGATGTGTTCTCAAGTTTTAGAATCCCTGGTCTATGGTAACGAGCAAGGCACTGGGGCATGATGATATGAAGAATGATTCCCAAGACAAGTCCTTGTGATTCAT